ATATTAAATGCAACAAAAAAAAACAAATCTTATTACAAACCTTAGGCCTTTATATCTAAACAAAAAACAATCTTTGCTATTTGAAGATGAAAATATTCAATCTAAACTATTCAATAAAGCAATAAAGTATCTTAAAATATTTCTTTCAGGAAAATCCTCATCCTTGACCATAAAACAAAGGCTTAAAGAAAAAGTTTTAAACTTCATAAGAGCTATCACAATACAAAAAACCTGAAATGGCTCAATTACAAAACAAATATCCTATTGGATAATCCCAGCTCAATTAGAATATGCCATACAAATCTTTATCCCAACAAACAATGAAGTCAACTTTTTCCAATTCAAATTCAATAAAGCAATTAAGGCAAAACTAGATATTAAGCATACAATCTCAAATAAAATTCTCTATTCAAAGACAGTTCTTGATATAGTAAAACTTTAAAACAGAAGAGATACTATAGTAATAAAACTTTTAATCTCAAAACTCATTAATCCAATGACTCACCAGACAACAGTTCAGAAAATCTGATCATGTAACAATTGGGTCCTTAACCTGCCATATAACTTGAATACATGCTATGATCGCCAGAGGTGCTGATCATTTCAAACATATAGGTTTCGCAAGAGATAAATAGTATTACTAATAGTATTTATACTAACATTACTATATATTTTTTTCCCCCTCAGCGAGACCAAATTCACTTTACTTTATTTATTTATTTTTTGTTTACAAAATTTGTAATCTAAATAAACTATTACATATATAGTGAAATCTACCTATGAGATAGTGGCTTGCCACTGGAACTTGTCTCTAATTCCCTTGGGATATTAGCTACAGAGGTTCAAGCCAGCGTGCCTAGACTACACTGGTGGTCTTTAAATAATTTTAATGTAATATAGTTATCAAAGAACTGACTTTTGTGTGTAATATGTCTTTCCATATTGTGAAGCCATGTTTCTGTGGCTCGAGCTAGTTTTGTTGTGTCTTTGGTATTTTGTTGCCTTGTATATCTTGTACCTATACTTCTTTTATCTTGTACCGTTATACCTTCTTTTTTTTCCCATTTTTGTACTTCTTTATTTCTTATTTTCCATGCATTTATAACTTCATTCCTTATTGATCAGATGATGCTATAGCTAAAGATGAGTTCCTAAATTATTTGCGAGGACATAATTCAAATGTCCCTTACTATTAAAAATTTTCATTTCTATATGAAGGAATAAAAAAAACTACCTACAAAGGTTCTTTATAGTTTTAAGCATCTATACAAATCATTTCTGGAATTATGTCCCTATTGAAGTAAAGAGCTAGGAATTATGTCCTCTAGGGGACGTGGACGTAAAGGGACGTAAATTTTATATGCTAAATACTTTAGGGACCCATCTTTAGCTATAGCATGTCTTTCCTTTGTTTTTTCCTGTCAGCTTTCCGATGATTTGAGTTATTTTTTTTGTTAATATTTCCCGCCTAATTAGCATCATGTTGAAAGTGTTCTCTGGTAATGCTTTTTTAATTTTTTCTTTTAAGTTTGTCACGTTTGCATCTTCTTTTTTCCTTTTGGCAATTTCTTGTATGGTATTTTTGATGAAGCTTTCATATAAACTTGCTTTATCTTGATGCATTTGGATTGCGTGATCTATCGTTTCAGGCTCATTACATTTGATGCACTTGTTGGTTTTATATACCTCAGGTTTTTTTTTGTGTAATTCTATCATTGTTGGAAGTTCATTGTTTAGTAGGCGAAAAGCATTGCGTCTTTCTGTGTGGTCTTGAAAGTCTGTTTTTCCTTTCGTAATACTGTCTTTTGTATTTGCTTTCCATGTATTTGGCCAATCAATCTCTCGTGCTTCTAGCCTATCCAGCCAGCTTCTATGTCTGTTTTGTGTTGCCCATATGCTTGCCCATTTCGTGCGCCTGTTGATTTTCAGGAATGATTTTATGTTTGCATTGATTATACTGTTCCCCCATTTAAAACATGCTCTGATTTTTGTTAGTGCACTTATATTTATGCTTATACTTTCAGTATTGTTTTCCTTTCTTCCTTTATTGGCTAGTTGATCTGCCAGTTCGTTTAGTTCGATTCCTGTGTGTGCCTTGACTTTTTCGAAATCAGTGAGTCCTTTTCTTTCTTTTATTTTTTGTTGAATATAGGTGATGTTTATTAGTGCTGCATAGTTAATTATATTGTTTCCTGTTAGATCCTTGTGAATGTTGTTCAGTGTTGTTTGGCTATCTGTTTTTACTGTTATATTTGATTCTTTGTTTGTCATATATAGTGCTACTGCTATGACAATACTCTCAGCCATGGTGGAGGATAGCCAGTTTGTAGCTTTGCTACTGAATGTTACTCTTTCTTTAGTTTCATTGTTCTCATAAACGATTCCTATATCCATCTCAGTATATTTTTGGTTACGTTCGAGTGATCCATCTGTGAATATCGATATGTCTTTCCAAGTCTTTATTTTTTCCTTTGTTTTTCTTATCTGTGCTTGTTTCGCTTTACTGACTAATGATATCACTATTGGTAATGTGTCTTCATCTTGTTCTTGTTTTGTGGTTATTAGCTATAATCAGGTTCTGATTTGTTGTATTTGATCCTCTGCTATCTGTTCCATTTTTTTAAATTCTGTGTTTATTGAGTTTGGAAATATCAGCATGCGTTATTTTTCCTGTGTTGTGTTGACATCCTTGGCATTTAGCGATGGGTGAGTCTCCTGCAATTTGTTTGTAATGTCTGACATGTAGTTGTTGGTCAGTTTTCTTGTATCTTTTGTCAATTTTTCCATAAACCATATTGTTTCCGATTTTTGCAGTTATGAAGTTGTTTTCCTGGATGGCTTCTCTTCTTGTTCTGATCAATTGATTGTCTGGCCAATCCTGTTTCATTATCCGTGCGTTGTCTGTAATACTTGGTACAGTGATTATTGCTTGCAGCTGATGGAACCATTTTGGAATTCTACCTTTTGTTGCTTTACCTTTTTCTTGATAACTAACTTGGGACCAACTTAGAGCTTTCTGTTGACTTGAATTGGTAAGCTGTTCTAGGTACATTATTTTGTGTTTCCTTAAGCCATTTTTGTATTGTTCATATCATTTGTGGTCTACCAGCTCTTCAATCAGCTTGAGGGGTTTTTTCCCTGGCATTTGGATGATTTTTCCTGATTATGTCGATTCGATTGTAAAGTTATTGTTTTTCATTAGCTCTAAGATTTGACTATGTAGACTTGATTGGTTGTGTTTTCTGGTACTGACATTTATTTCTAGGATACTGTTTGTTGTCCATGTCAAGTTCTGTAGATTTTGAAATCTTCTTCGCATTGTTTCTCCTATCAATGTATCTGAGTTGCAATCTCTGATTAATCTTTTGATGTGCTGCTCCAGCTGTCGATTGTAAATATGGGAAATGTTGTATGTGGTATGTAAATGTATTCCACTATTAATTATTGTTGATGCTACTCCGATCTTGTGTTTCATGAGTGTTGTAATTTTACTGTTATGCTTATCACATTCTTCTTGTGTTAGTACTATGTCTTGGAGCAGATAGTCTACTGCTGGTGCGAGCACGTGATTTAGTATGTATGCTAGTTGTTTGTCTGTGATATGCATTCTTGTTAATGTATTAACGCAATGCTATATCTTGTCCTTGATCAATTCTTTCTGATGTTTTTTGGCACCTGATGCTGTTATCCATGTTCTGAGGATTCTTATCAGTGCCTTGTGATGTTCTGCATGTATTGTGTGGTTATTCCATCTGATTTTGTTGTGTGCGTGATCTTTGTTTGTTATAAGCAGGAAGGACTTTTGTGGATTGATACTCAGGTTGTTCAAACTTGTAAAGAATGTAACGATCTTTTCTATTTTTTCTAGGTTTTTCTTGCTGCTGGTAATCCATGTGCTGTCATCCATATACGTAATTGAGAATATCTTCAGTTTGGATTTTTTTGATATCCTTGGATCTGATGTTGGGTATCTCGTGGTGATTGTGTATCCCAAATTTTCTTGCTCTATTTTGCAGATAAGGGGATCATAGTATATATGCCATAGAAGAGGGGAGATTGTGTCACCTTGGTCTATGCCCATTTTCGGACTATAGTTTTCAGTGAGTCCATGACATGTGATGATTTGGTTGTTTCTGTCAGAGCTGAGCTTTATTAATATTGTAATTATACTTTGGGGTATTTTGATCCTGATCAGGGAATCCTCCAATCTTTCTTTGTCCATTGAGTCGTATGCCTTGCTAATGTCTTGGGTTAGAACCCAGCAGTCTTTTCGGTTTTTTCTAGCATCTTCAAGAATATTGTTAATGATCATGATTGGTTCATATGTGCCTCCTCCAGGAAGACCTGCCCAGTTGAATGGTGACAATATCTTGTGTTCGGTGAGGATACTGGCTAGTTTATTGTTTAATGTTTTGGTAAAGATTTTTTTAATTGTTTCTAGGAGTGTGATCGGTCTGGTCAAATTAAGATCATGGTGCCAGTCTTTCTTTTTGGGTATTGGATATATTAAGTTGTTTTGCTAAAACCGTGGAATTTCTTGTGTTTCTTGCACTCTGTTGAAGATGTTTACTAGTCTTGCATGAGCAGTTGTTTCCATTTTTTTAATCATATCATAGCTAAGTTGAGATTTGCCTGGAGCAGATTTATTGTTCATTTTTTTAATTGTTTCTTCTATCTCTTGTACTGTGTAGGGCTTAGTGAGCTGTGTGTATCATGTTGGGTCTATATGTGTTTTTGATGCATATTCAGTTCTCCATTTTGGTTCTTCAGTTTTTTGTTTCTGTGGTGTTGGAAGTGCGATTTGTCTGTAGTGATCTATTGCCATGTTTTTGATGGTGGTTGGGTCTGTAATCACGTCTTTTTCGGAATCTTTGAGGAGTAGCTTGTCCATCTTTATATGTATTGATTTTCTGTTAAGAAGTGAATCTATTATCTTTTTCTTTGCGAATTGATGGTTTTGTTGCTTGATTTCTATATATTTCTGAATATGGGCTTGTTTTCTATGCTGAAGAAGCAGTTTGAATGCTTTTGCCATGCTTGTCCTCAGGTTGCGTATCTCTTGGAACCAGTGTACCAGGCTTATGCCCTTGGGTGTGTCTGTGAGTTCAGTTGACAACAGTTTTGCTGTTTGGATATTTACTTTGATCCATTCGTTTACTTGTCTTGCCATGCTTTCGGCATCTATTTTTCCTGATAGGTATTTCTTTGCAATGGCTGTCGCTTTGTTGAGTGATGTGATCGTTTGTGCAGTTCTTTTATCTGTTTTGTTTGTTTCCTTGACATTGGCCTGCTTGGTTTTGATTTTTTTGATGTTATCTTTATGGCCTGATTGATTGCTTCCCATGTAAGATTCCATAGCTTGTTCGCTGAGACTTGTTTAGAATTGATTCTTTCTTCTTGCGCTTTTAGTGTATTTGAAATTTGTGTTGCAAATTGTTCCTATTGTTTTTCGGTTGTATGTTTTGAAGAGTATCTTCGTCTTGATTTTTCTCTTTTACTTTGTTTGTCTTTATGAACTATGTTGCCAACTTCAATTTGATATCCTGCTATTTCATGATCGCTATGGGTTATTGCTTCTGACTAAGCTATATATGCCTTGACCAAGTTCCACTCTTCATCCGATGACATCCAAATCTGATCAATTCTGGTTTTAGTGTTTCTGCTGTTCCGCCATGTGTATCTTTCTTGACATGGATGTACTTCCCTGAATGTGTCTATTGTGAAAGGGAAATTGCATGGTCACATAAGTCTATGCAATGATGATCCTAAAAATGACAAATCTGAGAAAAATGAGATATCTGTAATATATTTCTTTTATTTGAT